AATTGTTTGCAGTTATTTATCGCACTCAAATGAATCAGAAACACTGAAAGTAAATGGAGTGGTGGTTTTATCTAATGAATAACTGTTCAGAAGTGGTTTCAATGAGCTTTTGGAGGGATTTATAGGAGATTATGTAGTTGCTTTTTATTTAAAAAAATATTTTCTCCTTGCACTCTGATTTTAATAAATTGCTTTTTAGTCGTTTGCAACATAGAAGAAATTAAAAGCTTAAGTCAAACTATTTTTTAAGAACATCACTGGTTTTCTAGAAACAAAATAGACGCGTATGCCTTTAATGTGAAGAATAATATACATGTGTTTAATTATTTTAAATGGTTTCTTGACATTGTTTTTAATTTTCAATTCTGTTTAACTAAAAAATATTAATCATGAAAAAATAATTCTCTTGATTTTATATTTTTAAGTGAAAAGCAAATACTTTTGAAATGCAAATGTTTGAAATGTAAACTACTATTTTAGTTTTATATACATTTAGTATATAATGTTTAAATTTTTTAAATTTTTTTTAAAATTATAAGTTCATATATTTTTTCATATTAAGCAGTTGGTGGGTGAAGGGAATATTAATAAGTTTGAAATTAATTACTAGTATTTAATAATAGGACTTCATATTCAATCATCTGACTGTTTCTTCATGTTACAGATCATCATTTACAATTACTATTTACTGAATTATTATGCACTACTTTGTAACATTACTTCATCGATTAAATTGCTATAGATTACTTTATAGCACTTCACTCAAAAGTGACCGTGTAAAATCGAGGTAAAATGTACTGGCATTCTCTGATAACCGTATCATTAAAATCCATTTTACCTCAAAATTCGTTTTTACTGTAAAATTTTATACTGCTAATTTTACTGTAGTATTTATTTAATTACATTAATTTAGCGATTCAATAGTAATTATCACTGTAAATATCACGATATATCAGAATTTTTGTTCCGTGAAATTCTCTTGTAATAATAGAATGCTACGTAAAAAATGGCTTCCTGAGTGTCAGTATTTTCAATGTAATTTGATCAGGATTTTTTTACAGTGTACTTCATCCACTAATTACTATACATCACTCTAAAATACTAATTCACTAAATAACAATAAATATATATGCACGAAATAAACTGTATCCATCACGCAGCTCTGTTATCAATAAATAAATGATAAATAAAACTTATACAAATGATAAAAATTATTCTATTTGTTCACTAAAAGACTTATACTATATGTTGTGCAATTTATGCAGCTCACTTGTAAAACCATTGATAAAAGTTGCTTACAATTATCCATTAATATACTTTCTAATGCATTTCAATATGTTTTAAAATATAAACAAATGTCTTGTCAGATACAACATTAATTGAGGGAAGGTTGTAAAGGAATGACTGAAGTCAGGTAAACAATTTCAATATTAATGGCGTCGAAGTAATTACTTAGAAGGAATTACTGGATTCCGAATAATCCTGTAGCGCTCTATCTCTTGGGGAAAGACCTGTTTCAGCATGTTTTACTCAGGGATCATTGTTGTTGAGGAGGCGGTATTTCAATTCATTTACTCAGAGAGAGAATTTTATATTAAATTTATTGTTTTATTTTGTTTGCTTCAGTGGTAAGTTGTTTAAACAATCTATACGACTAAGCTTGGCTTACTTCCAAAGCTTGATATTTGACGTTAGAACTCAGTTTTCTAATTGTTTCATTTATTTGGTCAAACCCAGTGCAATATATAACTAGTCATTTTTAATTTGTTTATTTATGAATTATATTACTAAAAATACATAATTAAATACCAATTTAGTATTTATTTATTTCATCATAGCGTATTAAACTTATTATTATGGCATTCCCTAAAACCTGTTTTAATATTAATTTTTCGTACACACGTACTTCTTACGCATATCTTGTTTATACTTACATTTTATACTTAGACAAATTCTGGATAAAATTACGCTATTAAGTACCGGCTCACAGGAAAGCCGGTACTTCTTACCGTAAAATAAATTTGTACCATGATACGATAATTTTGACAGTAAATGATGATAATTTTCACAGTAAAGATTTTTACAGTGAATTTACGGAATTTTTACAGTGATGATAATTTTTACAGTAAAGTACTGAAAAACTGATAGTTTTTACAGTAAAATCACTGAATCACTCTAATTATATAAATATTTGTAAAAATTAGAGTCTGATATTTCACGGTAAAATTGAGTTTGACGGATGATGCACCCAAAGCACCTTTACAACGTAATTTGATCCAGAATTTTTTACATCTCTTTGATTAAGTTATTATTTTTTACATGGTTCAATAATAGTTTTAAAATCATATCGATACAGAATTGTTTGTTTTGGTTAAATTTTACATTTTTAAGATGGGCTAAGAACTATTATAAAATTATTTCTATGAAGACATTAGTAACAACTGATTAAGATATTATTTCTAATATGGGCTAAGAACAATTTTAAAACAATGTCCATGTTGCTATTAGTAAAAATTTAATTAAAAGTTATTTTTAATTTGTGCTTATACCTGTTTTAAGATTATTTCTACGTAAATAATAAGGCTATTAATTGTATCATTAATTCTAATATGGTTCAAGAATGGCTTTTAAATTATTTTCATACAGCTTAGCAGTTTTCGGTAAAAATTTATATTGTTATAATGGTCTAAGTCTTAAATTTATTCAATGGACAAAAATTTACAAATTATATTACAAATTAATTTACAAATTAATATTAGAATTAAATTCTTTGAGCACCTCAAACATTTTGATGAATAAATAAATTGCTTTTGCAAAATTATGTTTTATTCTTATATTTTTGTAAGAAATAAAGTGTTGCATGATATTATTATTCAAAAACGATATGTTTAAGATACATATTTACTGATAAATAGTCACTGAAAAAATAATTTTTAAAGTAAGATTGTTGTAGGGATTAGGATATTGATAATTTTTCAAAACTGAAAAATTCCTTTATTTTTAATAACAAAAGTGAATAAAAATCTGATAATTGTCAAAAGTTCACTTTTTAAACAACATTTAGTTGAAAACTGAATATTGATAAAAATTTACTTTTTCAGCAATATTTAGTTGAAAACATATTATTGTTTATGTTCATTTTTAAAACAATATTTAGCTTAAAGCTTACTATCGTGAAGAGTTGAATTTTTAAGCAACATATAGTTGATAACTGAATATTGTCAAAATTTACTTTTAAAACAATAACGTGTTGAAAACTGAGTCATACTAGGAGTTCACTTTTTAAGCAATATTCAGTGTCAAACTGACTATTGTTAAAAGTTCACTTTCTAAACAATGTTCTTACTATTTAAATAATATATTTACTTTTTTGCAAGAAAATTATGATCACATTTTAGCAAATAATTACTGTATAAATCAAAGAAGAATTGTTGTTTGTAAGGATTGAACTATTAATCACAACGAAAAATAAGAATTATTTTTTCTCAGTAAACGACGTACAAATAAAAAGTATAGTCATATAATTCATAGCATACTTATGGCACCAATCTTTTCTTGAATGAGGATCGATAGAAGTAAAGAGGATTTAGGGTAAAACTAGGATATAAAATGATAATGAGGAAAAGCTCGTATAATGTTATTTGACGAAAATGTCACTAGAGTAACTATTGCATTCCATGAGTGCTTCTGGAACCGATACTGAATAGTAAATATTTCCATCAGCGAACATTATATACCATAAATGATTCTATTTTATTGCATTGGAATCATAAAGGCTTCTTTTTAAGAATTTTTTTTAGAAATAACAAGAAAATAAGATTACAGATGACTTTATTCTACATGATATAAGCTGAGAAGGCTTTTTTGATTTCTCTATCCTAAAGTTCTTATATTTATTGCGTAATTTTAAATTTCGGCATCATATTCCTAATTTTTGAAACGTTCAATATTCGCTCAATGCTGACAAAATTATTAATTATATATTAATAATAGTGCCGACCAGGTAGCTGGGTGGTTAGCGTGTCTGACTGCGGAGCCATTGGCCACGGGTTCGAATCCTGCTCAGGGCATGGATGTTTCTTTCGCTCTCTATGTTCTATGTCCTTTTCTCTTTGTGTGAATGTGACCCGCCCTATAAGCGGGTTTGTGGTTGTGCGACGTGGGCGACGTGGGCGACGTTGCTCCACCGCCGTGGCTTAGCCAAAGGTGCCCACTGGGTAACGAGAAGAGTGTAGCAGTTTTGTCATTTCTGTGGCCAATGGGACAAACTCCAAGTGCCCGCCATTAAAAAAAATATTAATAATAGTAATAATGTTGTAATATTCTTCTTTGCACGAAATAAAGCAATGGAAATAACGTACAACTAAAATAAGACTATTAAATGCTAAATTAGTCATATAATAGAGAAATTTTAATAAAATGATAAGAAAATAAATAAAATTTTATTATATAGTTTAATTATTTAAAAATCCAAATGATGATAACTAATACTTTGACAAGTATCTGCATCCGTGGAACAATTTAGCATTTCTTAGAACATTACTTTCGAGAATGTTTAAACATGCGTAAAGTTCACATTACTACAAGATAAAATCATATATTTTTTTATTGATGGGCTACGAAATAAATCCATAATATCTTTTTACAGTGCTGAAATTGCCTTTGGTGAGACTGGTTTCAGTTGAATCCCGGATAAGTTTGTTGATTTTTCATGAAAGCAAAATTGAACTTTCTTTAAGAATTAAAAACCTAAATTAAACTACTAACTTGACCTCACGAGATAAGTCCCCTTCTTCATTGATAGCAGCCTCATTAACAGTTCATCTTGTATATGCCAGACAGTAAGTCAAAGACTTATTTGTACCACGTAGTTTGCATATGTTTACATTGTGAGAATAAATAATGTAATAAGCTGATTATGAGCTATTTACATCAACTATTTTACACGCTAGCACAATAAATAATAGACAAAAATAAAGCTAAGAACTGTTGATATGTACCTGTTGCTGTTGCAACCCCATACACTTTTTGTCTGTACACATTTCTTCTGTTCCAAGCATAAGTATATTTTATGGCGGGATCAGCTTCAAATTGCTTTTCAAAAAGAATGCCTTCAATAGAGATCCTTAGATGGATTAGAATGAGGTCTTTAGGGATAACATCAGGTGTGAGCTGTAGCTGTATTGTAGATAGGTATCCACCAGCCCTACTACTATGGTAAACAAGGTGTAAATCTGTTCCAGGTATTGGCAAACTTTCTTGAATGACCTTTAAAATAAATTGAATTATTAACAAACAGCGGAATGACTATTTATGGACCAAACTTTGGTGGTTTTTCAAACAATAAACATTTACTTTGATTTATTATACATTTTTTACAAATTTTTTTACAAGACAACTAAGCTATTTGCAGTCATGAGCTACAAACGAAATTAGCCAAGAGTGATATTAATTTTCATTTACAAAAGATGAAATTTTGATGTTTCAAATTACAGTAGCAGTTCTGAACAAGTGTCACGATATCGTATGTTGCATTTATTGTATTAAAAGTTCATATTTACGGGCTTAAACGACTCTTTTATTACTGAAGATGTTAAAACAGAAAATTTATTTTTGTAGAGGGTTCCACCTTACAAAGAGCTTTTAGAATAATTTATATCGTTTATATGCATGATGTCCGTGGAAAAAAATAAGATTCAAGAAAGAATCCAGCCAGCTAAAAATGGATGATATGCTTCAGAAATATTTCTAGTTGTCCAAAAAATGGTTGACCAATTTACAAGTGGTCACTGTGTCAGAAACACAGAAGCAGATTGCGTATTACTGATTAGACCATTTCGAAAAAGGGCATTAAAAGGGAATGTGAAGTCGGTCTAATAAGATCCATTTGTTCATAAAAGAACAGAGATTATTCCGATTTTTTACGGCAGAAAGTAAGCGTAAGCGGACTTTTATTGTCGAGTATTTTCTTTTGAAGGAGAACATTGTCTAGGAAAAACGTTTACAAAACAAATGCTGAGAAGATCTTCGTGAAGAGCCTAGAATATTGGATCTGCCAAGTCTTTGTTAGGGCAAACAGCACGACCTTTCACGAACTCATAATTCTTGATTATGTCATGATAAGAGGTAATCGAAGAGTTGCGACTCGTCACATTTGAGCTGTATAGCATGAGTACAGAAATAGTGCTGTTACGATTTGCCATTAAAATGCTGTACAACTTCTTCTTAACGTGAATTTAAATTTAGTTTAAATACCCTTATGTGAAATCGTTAAACCATTATACTATATCGGGGGTTCGTCCTTTTACCTGTGCTTTTTAACCCTGTATTTCTGAAGCCATTACAAGTGTTCACTCTTTTTACAGGCGACTTTTATAGTTTCGATTTTTTTATCAAGTGTGTTATTGTTATGCAGTGTGAAAACTATCTTTAAGAAGAAATTCTACTATAGCAGGTGTATGCTATCTACGTGCAAAAATGTTGTGTGATTTATTTTATCGACAGATACTGCAAATAACAATGCAAGGCAATATGAGTCTTTCTGAAAAATACTCAAAATTATGGCAGTATAAGATAACAGGTAGCCTTATTGGTTTATAGCCAAGGTTTTATTCGGGTAACTTTAAATTATTGAAACCATATTTTTTGAGGGCATTTATGGTCCGACCTAATTTACTCTGATGACAGAAGTGAAGCTGACTGTTGATAAGTTATTTATGGAGTTTTAACACGTGGAGTCATCAGGCTAGTAGTGTATAGCCTGAGGTTATCTTATCATGATCACGGTTATTTTAGGTCTAGCTTGGTCACTGTCTTACACTTGATGACGTTCTCTTATGATCTAGAATATGTCTACTAGTATGTTATGATTTGAACCACGGAGATTCTAATTAACATAGAATCTCGCATGACCTTAAATGATACGGCTGAATGAAATAAAAAATATTCGAACAGATCTCGAAGAAAAAATTTAAATTTAAAAAGCTTCATTTCAGAAAATATATTAAAGAAATACACATTTATTCTAATGAAAATCTATAAAATGAAGTTTTAACAATAAAATGGGTGAAAAAGTTCTCTTTGGCTTTCCTCACCAAAATAAATTCGAAAAACATGTAAAAAATAAATTTAAAATTTAAGTAACGAAAAGTACACTTTATGCCATAAATTATTTAGAAAAATATATCTATGCTCAATTTTCAAATACAACTGCTTTGAAATAATGTATATTCTGTACTTTTGAAGTATACATTTTAAACACAGTGTAATATATTATTGATAATATGCTGAGACTGCAAAATAAAAAAAGAATTTTTTAACTTAAAGCTAATAAATAGTTTAAACTACTCAAGGCTCTAAAGTTTGCACTCGGGTTTTAAGAGACAGAGAGAGCTTTTAAAAGTTTTTAAGTAGTACTGCTTACTTTCGACTTTCAAGAATTTAAAGAAAACAACTTTTCCAAATTTACTTTAGGAAATATTGTTTTACAAAAATTTTCTCCTTGGCTCGTATTTTTTAAGAAATTCTCCCTTCCCCTTATTGCTGACCACTTTATTTTTGTCTCACAAGGAAACCAATTGTGAATCTCTGGAGGCAGCAAATCAAATCTTCCCATCGATCCGAATTTATGGACACTCCAGGAAGACCCCTTCCTATCCGGATAGGATTTGATGGAATCCCTGTTTTATAGACCACTTTTCTAAGATTTTATAAAAGTAGGTCACGTCGGCCCCTGTATCAGCATTGCATTCGAGATCACGGGGAATGTAAAGAAATACACTGTTGATCACCTTCCTCTTTTCAACTTTTGTCGCTCTTCATCTCTTAAAAAACACTCGTATTTCTTTAAAAAAAAAGTTTACGGTTGCTGATAAATTGCTTTGATTTAGAATGCATTTTTGTTTTGGGAATAAAAATTATCTAGCGGTTTAAGAGAGTTGAAAATTTTTCTGAAGAGAAATTCTGTATAAAGTTACATTTTAAATTCAATTAGTGTTTTGAAGATGGAAATTGAGAAATTTAATTATGAAGACCGCAATATAAAAGTAATTAGGTGGTACATACAAGTTAAAATTTTCATAGTAATGAATGAATTGTAGGACTAAATCCCCCCCCCCTTTTGATGCATATTATAAATCTTTTATAAAATTCGAAACTGTAAGAAATTTAATTGCAAGCCAAATGCTATGCAGTGTAAAAAATTTCTGTTCAAATTACTGTATAAAATATTGACATATTGGGTGCATCATCCATAAAATCCATTTTTACAGTAAAAGTAACCTTAGTTTTTACACTAATATAAATTTATTTAGAGTGATTTTACAGTAATTCATTGATTTAATGATTTTACAGTTATTACTATAAAAATTGCGGTATATCAGGCTTTTTATTCCGTAACATGTTCCGGAAAAATGGATTTAAAGGTGAAACGTATCAACACCCTAAGTGCGGAATTTGTGCCGAAATTTAATCCGGAAATTTTCAGTGTAGTGGCAGTTATGTTGTACATAAGAGTAGAAAGGTATCATAAAAATAAATAAATTATGGAGCTAAATTTGTTTTTTAATCATTGCATGTCATAAATCATTTATTATTTGGATACTGAGAAGTAAAATACAGTTCTCTTGGGCAAGTTAGGCACGATAAAACACAAAAAATAAAGCCCACAGGTAAAAATTACCTTAAAATGAATAGAAAAATATAATACACAAATAAAAAAAAACTTTACTTGTGTAGGCATACTTTTTTAACGTTAAAAAATGAGTTTTATACAATTTTAAATTTTTATAAATTGATATCCATATTTTTTAAAAAGCGCTCATCAAGCAAAGGGCATTTTCTTAAAACCGATTTTCAAGATGTTTCAAGTTTTTCAACCATGCGTTTTAAATTATATCCATGCCTGTCCAAAAGCGCTAAAGGCATTTTCTTAAATCCGATTTTTAAAATGTGTCAAAGTTTTGAACCACCCATTTTAAGTTATATCCATGTTAAGTTATAACTCGTCTTTTAAGCTACATTCTTTTTTTAAATAAATATTTCTAACAATGCTTATTTCTATTAAACACGCCACTTCGAGCTATTCCACACTTAAAAATTCACTGATCTGGCTTCTTTTGAGGATGAACTATTTTAGTGAGAAATATGACATTGCTTTTCTTTTCCTCTTACTTAAATTTTAATTTTGAACCATTCATGCGAGCGTTTTACCTCAAAAAATTCGAAAAACATTAATTAAAAGCGGCCATTATAGAATAACAAGAGTAAATTTTATATGTTAATACCTGTGATTCAGCTAGAACAGAACTTCTTTCGGGACAGCCTCCTTGAAAGCCATGTTTCCATGTTGCCAAAACAACTGGCTTCATTGTATCGTAATCGTGATCTGGACAAGTGACAGTCCTTGAATCATCTTCTCGGGATTTTTTACGCTCGTCGAGATACAAAGTTATTTTTTCCATAACTACTATCTCGTTCCACGGAACTCTGACGGTGATGGACTGCGGCATAAATGGCTCTCTCTGAAAATGGAGCTTGACAGCTCCTCCTCCATTAACCAATAAATCAAACCTAAAGCAGTAAAATAGTTTTAAGAATTACAGCAATATATTTAGCATTTAATATCAGTCCTTCAATTTTAAATTCTGGTGACTAAACTGTCCGGTGGTTAGATTATCCAATGTCTTTTTTTCTGTAAACTATGTCACAGCGTTAAAATATTCTTTAATTTTTCAAAAAAACTGTAATTTCTTTTTAACTTACATCAGATTAAAATTTAATACAGAGCAATAAAAAGTAAAGCATCTCATAAAATATTTTTAAAGGTATGATTTTTGTTTGGTCACAATAACGCCTCGCATTGGGGAAAAAGTATGAAAATAACTACCAGAATATGGTAAAATTCTGGTATTCTGAATATATCGGAACACCAAAAAGCTCGGAAATTTTTGCCGAAAAGCTTTGGTAATGATTTCGGTAAATTTAACAGTAAAATATGATTTTATAATAAGTGATAAATTTTGGCAAATGGAGCAAAATTCGCTAATTTTATCACGATACCTTGGAGCTTGGCATTAAAGCCATTTATTCGGTAAAATGTTCTTTTTAGTATTGTATTTCTTTATAAATGTGTGGTAATAAGGACTATAATTTTGAAAACCAGAATTTCCATTAAAACGTTACTATATTAAAGGAAAAATTACCAAAGAAATGGTTTAAATATCATATATTTTGGTTGTTATTACCTGAATTCTGATTGTTTTACTAGAAAAATCATTACATACATTACGATAATGTTTCCAGAATTTTTTTTCCGAATGAAAATTGAAAATTTGGTCTTCTAACATATGATTTTGCTACATCATACAAAGCCTTCAATAATTGTACAAAGCATAATTTCTTGACTTTCTAATTGCATAACAATGACCACTTTACTCACCAGACTTTAACTCAATGGTTAAATGAATTTTGAGACAAAGATTTTCAGCTTTTACACATAAAACTATATATGAGTTGCGACCCACAAGTGGAAACATTTTTATAGCTATTCGTTAAGATCAAAATGGTTACTTTAAAAATTCTAAAAATGTTGCAGGCAGTGATGCTTTTATGTTTAGTTGTGATAGTCTAATAGGGATTGAAGTTATAATAATGCAGGTGTTTAAATTATTTCTTGTTAATTTGTTAATTTTGAATATAACTTTTTTGTCTTAAAAAACGAAAGTGACATGAAACTGACTTTCTCCACAGAAACAAGCAGTTCGAAATTTTAATCATTAAATATTATTTCTTTTAAGTTTCACTTAATTTGCTCTATTATTAACTATTGTTGATTAATAACGTTGAAATAGAATCAACTAGACATGTAACTAGCAGTACAGAAACATTGATTTCAATTAATAGTTAATTATGATTGAATGTCTCGATAGTGTTTGCTGACCTAGGCCTGGTTTATTGATATGTATGCAAATTTCCATTTAATGAATTTCTGAGGAATACGCTACTATTTAATAACATCTATTGCAAATATCAGATGCCCCTATCGAGTTATATAGAAATTAACAAAGCTAAATTAATGAAAACTAAATAATTTTATCAAATGTTACAAAAGCTTGTTAGTTTAGCTTCATGTAATGTTAATAATTAATAAACATGTTGTTGAGGAAATATTCATTTTTAATTATGGATGAAAATATTAATCAGTATTTACTTTAATGGAAACAGCATTATCAATTTCGATCTTGCATTATATTAGTTCAAACTTGAATGAATTAATTTGAACTATTATTTTCGATTCTTGACAAGTTTTCAGAGAATTATATATTAATTTATGAATTAAAATTATAAGGAAGGATTTTGTACCTGTTAATGTTTTTCTTAAGTTTCATTTATATTTATAAGAAAATGTAATGAAAATTAACTTGAAATTTTCATTCTAGATTAATATTTTGAACGTAATGTCCATCATGTAACTAACATCTAAACTTGCTTTAATATATAATTAAAATGTATATGTCATAACTTTATGAACTATTTTTCAAGGAAAAAAATTAATAGAGAAAAAAAATGATAAAGAAAAAAAATTAAAAAAGAAAAAGAAAAACAATAAAGAAAAAATTAATAAAGAAAAAATTAATAAAGAAAAGGAATGTCCTCACTCTTAATGATTTTTTTTTTAGATTTATTGACAAAAATTAAGACAAAGTTGGATTAACATAACTGATTGACAATTACATTTAGCGAAGAAAAAGAAAAAAAGTTATAAAAATCTAATGAATTATTATTGAAAAAATAGGAATAAAAATTGTAAGCCAGTATAATCGTTACATAAAATGTTTTGATAACAGTACGTAGTCTCTATTTTTCTATTTCCTTCGATAATCAAACATATTTTGTCATTTTTAATTATGTCTTTCTAAATAGTGTCCATCAGACTTCGATAGCTTTTTTCTCCGAGTTTAAATATAAATTGCTCAAATATTTGTCTTCATTTTTTTCACTATTATTTTAAAGATATATATTATTTATATAATATGTTATTTGAATATGTATTTACTTGAAAAGAACAATCACATAAATTAAGGAAAGCTTCTTGTATCTACAATGTCGCTTTAGCTTTTTTAGAAATTTTATCAAACAAGTTTAAGATGCACTTCTAAGAATAACTTTTCTAAAGATATTTTATGCTACTTAAAAAAACTTGCGACATCAGTGAGAATAAGTTACATAAAAATCGAACTAAGATTGACAGCGACAAAATAAAATTCATAAATATATATTATCGTTTGCGGCCATAAGTTTGTGTCAGACTGTATGGCATCGCTCGTCAAAACGTTTTCCCGTCTCGCACATTCTACGCTTCAAATTTTTATTCCAACCAATGAGAAGAGAGCTTCGGACTGCTTTGTGAGTCTCTTGAGTTTAAAGTTGACTGGCACGGCTGAAGATTTTAAGTGACATTATATTTATCGTAGTATAAAAACTTAAATTATTATGCTAGAATTTGTTTTTTCATTTGGTTAACATTTTTGAACTCAAGGTTACAAAAAAATTCATGTTCGTGTTTATAGTGTGCACTATTTATGAAAATGCCAATGTTTAAATACTGACACTTCTAGTACGAAAACTATTAGTTATCGTTAATAAAATCAAAATGCATAGTATTTAATCAGTTCATTTGGTAATTTTTTCTCTCATATGGTAACGGTTTACTTTTTACTTCCCATTTAGTAAAAAATACGAAACTGAAAAATAACTTTAACCGTAGAAATTGTTTTCATGCCATGCTCTAACGTATCATGATACAATTACCAAATTTTACCTCATTTATCAGATTTTATCACGTATTATAAAACCATATTTTATTGTTAATTTTTACCAAATCAATACCAAAGCTCTTAGGTAAAATATCCGGTAGTTTGAATCATAATTTTTTTCTCAGTGTTGAATTTCATCCAATAAATTCTTTTTTTACACTCTTAGAAAATTAGTATAGTGTTTATGCAAACATATTTCCAATACAAAATAAAATTTTGGTTACGTACTTTAAAAGACAGCATCTACCTTAAATAAACTATATCAATACATATTTTTCTATTAAAAAGGGCATTGGACTTGGAAATACTTTTTTTATGTACTTGAAACCTAATATTTGGTTTATTCATAATACATATATGAGATATCCTATGTTTTCTATAGATAAATAATAAAAAAATTAAAAGATAAATATATAATAATAAAATAAAGAGTTAAAGATGTGCGTCTGCTAAAGACGTGTCTTAGAAATAATTTTATGTTGAAAAATATTCAGAAATAAAAATTTAAACTGTTAAGAAATTATTTTAAAAATAAGCACTTAATAAATTTCAAATGTTCAATAAATTTTATAAAACATGGCCCTCTTTAAAAAATATGTATCACTAATCACAAATTTTACAATCGTTTCCTGTTAAGTTTTCTGCTGATATCCTGTTAAATTTTTTCTAGATCTTATTTGGGATTTAAAATTTTAAAAGTGACTTTATAAAAAATTCAATTATGGAAAATCGGGTGCTTTTAATTATGTTCATTAGATTAAGTATCATTTAACATAACATCGAAATTTCAATATTTTTTTATGAGACTTGGCATTTAGGGTATTTTGTATCTATTTTTGAGCACAGTTAATGCATTGCCAGGTTGTAATTCTTAAACTTGAAAACACGATGCTACGGTTTATCTTGAAAGGAATGATTTTAAATTTAACTCCTTATTCAGATTGCAGTAAATTTGCTCCGTAAAGTTGAATAAGTTTTTTTAAGAAGTTATTTGAGACACAAAAGAATAATTTCGTAGCATCAACGCATATAATAAAATATTTAAAACGAAATTTAATTTTTAAGATTTTAAATGTACCTAATGTGTAAAAGAGTGGAAAAGAAGTAATACTTTTATAAGCATTTAATATAAATTGAATGCACAAAAGTATGTAGATAAGTAATATTTTATTTATGCAAAACAGATACACTGTATCGTAATAAAACTTGAGTGACTTTTATCTGTAAAGTGTAATAGTTTATTAATTTTTTAGTAGGTATCCAATGAGTAAAAGAGTACAAAAGAAGTAACGCATTTATAAACATATAATAGAAATTGAATGTTCAAAAATTTGCTGATAGATTATATTATATCTCTTTTATGAGAAACTGATGCATTGTATCATAACAAGACTGGATATACTTTTAATTATAAAACGTGCAATAGTTTAAAGGTATCCAATTCGTAATACAAAAGGAATAATGAGTTTATAAACATTTATGCAAACTGAATGTATAAAAATATGTAGATAGGTAATAATTTTTTTATTTACTTATTTTATTTTTCAAGAGCATTGTATTATAATAAAACTTGAGCCAGATTTATCTATAAAACGTGTAATAGTTTCAAAGGCAACCAATGAGTGAAAAAGTACCAAAGAACGATGCATTTAGAAAAATTAAATACGGATTGAATGGGCAAAAATTTGTAGATCGATCACATTTTCTCTTTTTATGCGAAAGTGATGCATTGTATCATAATGAAATTCGGGCCACTTTCATCCATAAAGCGGTAATAGTTAAAGCCTAATGTAATCTTTTCACGATGTTTAAAATTATGAGATATATTGAATTAAATCCTACCATCCAGTTTCTTGAGTTAGAGTTGATCCCGTCTTAGAAGAAGGATCGATGCCCACTCGAACTCCGACGACTCCACTTCCTGATTGGCTTACTACCTGTCCCCTTATGACACTGGTTCGACTAAAATTAGATGAGAGAAAATAAATTTGAGCGTCAAAGAAATAAAATTAATGTCAATTGAAATTAGTATTCATAATTATGAGCGGAAATTAAATTCGATGCAAAATGAGATCATACATATATGCTTTTGAAAACATTTTATGGTCTTTAAATGTTTTTTTTTTAACTTTATTTTTTATGCAAAGAACTTACTTGCTTGTTAATATGTCAAAAGAGAAAGAACACAATATTATTGATGTGGATACAGAGAAAATTAAATGAAAGCATTTTGAAACCTTTTATGCCTTTAAAATGCGTAAAAAGCTATTTGGTTAAAACGTCAAAAAAAAGAGAAAACACTTTGCTTGTTTTATTTATTTTAAAAATGATTTACTCGAATACTGCTGCATTCTTGAAGATTATCAGGTGTTTAATGGAGAGCAAATCGAGAGTAACAAAACTGCGAGTTATATATGGAAGCTATTTATAAAAGACACTATTCTATATCATTGACGCTATTTCTATAACATTGTCATTTAGTAATGACAACGGTATAGAAGATGGTAAATTATTATAATTTAAAACAAAATATAACACCTTAAGAATTTTCGTTTAATATTATTAATACCATACGAACTCAAGGTGCAAAAAAATTAAGCTTTTTTTAATTCACGAAACTACTATTTACTTTTTCTGTTTTACAAACCATTTTCTATATTTTTAATAACTATCCATTTCATAAATTTTATATGTATGACTATCTACGAGAGATTGTTTGAATACGCTTGTACATTTTGAAAAAAAGTGGTGACACATGGTAGGGTCATTAATAAATATTTTAGCCAAATGTTTTGCGGATAATGCTATAATAAATCTTAATTGCCTCAAAAAATGTTAAGTTTTTTAACTTAAAAATATATATTCAACGAGAAAATGCACCATTTTCTACTCATTTCATTTAATAATATAACATAATTTTAAAAGAAAAAAGAAACAAATTCTCTATCTTTTTTTCCATCTTTTGCTCAGCTATATATTTCTGTTGAAGATATCATCTTCTTTAAACTTCAAATTCAAAAAATTTATGTAGTTAATAGAAATTTCAGACTGTATGAGAGAGCATATTTTTTCTACCCGCTTTTAAAAAATCATTCATAACAAGGGTAATGCTTATCTTGTTTTACGATCTCTTTTAAAATAAACCATGTCTCAGTAGATCTAACTAACCTTAAAATATTGTTGTAAAAACGTTATGTAGTTACTAGAAAACAACAAATCTGAACGAATGGTATAAATAGTTGTGGAACAAAAATATATTAAATCTTGGGCGTTTAAAACTCATTACTCTCTTTCCAAACTTGATGGAAAACACCTGTTTCGGGTGTTACAGTTGAATGAAACGAAATGAAAACACTAACTAAAGGATTTACATTTTAAGTACTAGATTTAAAATCCATCAGAACTAGAAAGTAAGATCTTTACAGCCGAAAAAACCATTTTTTAAAATAGAACATTTCTGAAATAAGATAAATTCTTTTCCTCCCCCCTCTCACAAAACATTTTTTTATTTTTATTTCTCTTGTGCATTAACGACAAGCATAAAATATTGATGAGTTTTTTGAGGCGTCTCACAGAATATACAAGATGGCGGATTTTTAAAATGCCAGGATTTTTCGAATTCAGAAATGAATAAATAAGTAAGCAGCTGCGGAAGAATTTTTATATGCGTTTTATATGAGGAACAGAAGGGCATGCTTACCTTTTTTTGTAGAGATTCCAAAACATGCTGCAAGAAATGAAAAAAAAGGGAAAATCAATTTATACAGCCGACACTCTTGATTAAATTGCTGAATAAAATATGTAGTGCATATCTATGTCTGCGATGCAGAGTACTTGCAGAAGAGCTTATGAACTAATATGAATTTTGGTTATGTGAAGCTAAGAAAATATGAAAAAAAAAATTAAGTCTTACTTTGGGGAAATATAATATACTAATTGCTTTCTGGAATTCAATATAAGAAGTAGTTTGTTGAAAAAACTACATTATGTTTGTAGTTACGTATTAATGCATCCTAACTAATAAAATTTTTAATGCACAATTTCTTTGAAAAAATATGCATAAAAAATGTGCTGTAATTTATTTATTCAAATAGTCTATATGAAATTTGTAAATATGAGCAAAAACCTGGAAGATAGCCCATAATGTGGAGGAAAGTGCGCAAATATGAAGAACATTTATTTAAGTTAAGTGACAGCATTTTAATATTTGTAGATAATTACGATAAATTTCCTTTCTTGCAATTTGTAAGCTGAGCTAGTTTTGTTTTTTGGAAGATTGTAATTAGAAAAAGCTTTAGTCCATTGATTTGCGCACAAAGAATATAAAATTAGAGTCAAACAAAACACGAGCCTTTTTTAGTATTAAGACATTTTGATTCTGTCCTCTTCATTGAATTTAAATGCTAATTTGAATAGTGATTATTACTACATTATCATTTGTAGTTATATTTTAATGTATCCTAATAGATAAAATTTTTAATGAACGAAATATTTGGAAAGATATGCATATGAAATGAGTTGTAATTAATTTATTTATATTGTCTATATAAAAAGTTATAATTATTAGCAAAACCTGTAAAATAGCCCATAAGTACGCAAATATTAAGAATATGTATTTAAGTAAAATGATAGCATTTTATTGTTATTGTAGATAATTAGTTTAAATTGTATTTTTCTGCAATCTTTAAGCTTAAACTACTTTTATGTTTTGGAAGATTGGAATTAAAAAACTTTTATCCGTTGATTCACGCAGAAGGAATATAAAATTCGAGTCAAGCAAAATGAAGTATTTTTTTGCAGTATTAAAAAATTTTGGTTTAGTAATCTTCTGCGCATTTAAAAGCCAATATGAATATCAGGTAATTATCTTTTAATATGTTGTTTTAAGTAAAAAATTAATTCAAACATTGTTGGAAAGTTTTTTAAAATAAATTTAATGCTCTAACATCTTTTGGAATAAGCGGGTAAAGATTCATGTTAAGCATAGGTAAATTATAGCATATTAAATTGTTTTATTGTTCAAAAAAATAGTCAAAAGGTTTCCCATATATAAAATTCTAGCTTTTGACACATCTGCAAACATTGAGCTGTACATCGTTAGTTTTGGCAATCGATTTGTCACGAGATTGCGAAATTTTAGATGAAACACGAACACTCTAACATCATCGAAACTTTTTTCTTAGTCGCGTGCCATCTCGGTGCATTCTTCTTCGCTATATTGACTGTTAGGCAAGTGCTACAGTTAAACACAATAACAGTCAAATCACAGTTTTCAGTTTTCACAATAACAGTCAAATTTAACAGCAAATAATAAGTAAAGACCACCCAACAGAAGACCGTATAGGTTCCTTTTCATTCACTTTATCTTTACTACCAATTTTAAATTTTTCATGGTTTTTAAAAGTGATGACATTTTATATTAATTATTCTGTAATCTACTTCTTAGAGAGGTAACTTTTATAAAATTAATAGTAATCTTTTGAAGTACGCAGTCTATATATTCAAGTAGCTGTAAGGAGTTACAAAAATATAATTAATTAAGAAAAACTCAGAATATCATTAGACTGAATTCCTTATGGTCTAATGGAAAATTACACGCTAATAACTCATCTTTTTTTTTATCAACTTTTACACATAAAATTACACGCTAATAACTCATCTTTTTTTTCATCAACTTTTAATCTTTTTTATTTAGTACTTTTACTTTTCTGTAGTTTGGTAGTGTTTAGTCACGTGCAAACGGGTGAAACCCTTATCCGCAAACTCCTTCGGGGGTAGGTCGGTTACTATTGGTCTTATGGTCTAATGGAAAATAAGATATTCGAAGTATTTTATGGCAAGGAAACTTTTCAAATGTATATGACGAACAATAAAACACAGATAAGCATTCAAACCGGGAGGCTAATTAAGTTATTATCTAACTGAACTAAAAAAAATATATCATTTTTGTGCTTGAATCTTTATGATTTGTACATTTTGTGCTTGTTTGTCGTTCTAGATAACAATGCAAGTTTTTTTTTCAGAAATAGCAAATTAACTTTGGACCGATTTTAAATCAAACAATATTTTAAAAGTATTTTGTATTAACTTTGAGTAAAAATTCAGAAATGATTTACTTTCTCCATTTTTTGAGTAGGTTGTTAATGATGCAGAAGTAAATGCAATAGAAGAAAATAAGTAAAACTTAAATAAACGGAAACATTCAATCCAAGATTGTATGCAGCATCCCCCTTCCCGCCTGAGCATCATTCGTTTGAAGGATTGTTCTGTAATTGCCCCCTTAGAACGATTCATCAAAAACGTTTCCGTTACAATTTGTTTCATTGATTATTGCTCCTTTCCAACTGACTGAATAACATTATGTGTTCTTATTTCCTTGGATAAAAAACATAAATGACACACAACAAAATTATCTTTTTTCTTTTTCGAATTTTTCCGACTTTTTACAAGTTTTATGAGATTAAATATTGACCGACTTCATGAGGACTACCATATGAAATATAATTATAATTAAAATAAATAAATAAATAAAGCATTCCAAAATAATCTGTAGCAGGGTTTCTTAAAGTTACTCTAAAAAAGATGAGTTTTTCAAAATTGAGCAAAATTCTGTCAATATAGTTTTAGCACAAATAATGTGGAATTTGAAAACCCCATGTAAGGATTATTGAGTATAGTGACCTATAAGTTGAAACACCATATACTCATTGGTCAGTAGAATGCATAGTCTCTCAGAAATCAATGTAAGATAGATTAAATACATATGTAAGAAAGATGAGACAGATTGCCGGAACGATTCGAACTAAGAACCTCCGGAATCGTATATATAGTAGAATGCTTAAAATACCAAAGTTGTACATCCCACTCCAAGGAGAGTCAGGAAGCTTTATATAGTGCCGTCACATTGACACATCCCGTCATACTATCTTCCATTTTCAATTTCACAAGGGGCTGCAATTTAGAAAATAATGTCCCAATAGCTTAGTCAGGAGATCGATAATTTTAATTTGTTTTGCTTTTTTCTCTGTATCTTTAAAACGTTAAGGTGAAAGTGTCATTGTGGCGGTTCTATATAAATTTTTCCGATTTTCCCTGGACTTTACAACTATGAGTGTTAGAGCATCTTACTAAGAACCTGGAGGTCCTTTGTGCGAATCCTACCGGCAGCCATAGAACATCTTTTTCTCACATTTCTCCCTTCACATCACTTTTGAGACGACGCATTATCTCAAAAATAAGTATACACGGATTCAATTTTAATGTCAAAATACTCAGCGATAGATAAATGTTATTTTCCAATTCGACTATATTCGTTTCGACGATATTTTGATAAACTTTTGGGTAATTAGAGATTGATGTATATAAAATAAAAAAAAAACATAAAATTATTATCAACAGAAAAAATAATTGCTGAAAAATAATGTAAAAGGTTCAAATAATGTTTACATATTTGGATATTTTTATTGCTTTGATGTTGAAAGTTTTTCAGTAAAATTTATTGGAACTTAAATTAAGAATTTAAATAAAGTTGAATTTAAGTATTTGAGGATTTGATTTACAATCTTCTGCTTTTATTATCGATCCTTCGCTTTTTCCTTAATCGTTTCCACTATCCAAAGCAAATGTTTTATATAAATGTCTCACATTTCCAATCCATATTTAATGATTTGGAAAAATATGGCATATATATATATATATATATATATAATATATTTTATGGCAAGGAAACTTTTCAAATGTATATGACGAACAATAAAACACAGATAAGCATTCAAACCGGGAGGCTAATTAAGTTATTATCTAACTGAACTAAAAAAAATATATCATTTTTGTGCTTGAATCTTTATGATTTGTACATTTTGNTATATATATATATATATATATATATATATGATTGTAGACCTATAAATAATCTCTTTGGATCTAGCGTGCTCAGTTTAGGAACACTTAGTAAAAATATTATAAAGTTGTAAGAATATAATTATTTTTTTCTGAGCATTAACTTTTTTGGAAACCACTCTTCTTTAAACAACACAGGGCTGAAATATATCACTTCATTTAGAATGAGGAATAAACTTTTTTGCAGGTGCTGATGTTGCAGGTGCTGGCCAAAATCTTCATCCAAAATTTTTTGTTCTTAATGTGTAAAATAGTTGGATAACTTTAAAGACACTTAAATTTTTTGTAGAAGTTTTTGCATCAAATTTAATGATAAATTCAATTTAAAAAATAATGAGACCTTTCTGTGATAAAACATTTACATACAAATATTTTCTTCATAAGCATTTCTGCTACATTTAAATATTGCAATAAAATTTTACACTTATAGAATAGATTACATTTATCATTTAAAAATCTCATTCCAGTTTTTGTATAATAATACAAAGCTATCCATAATTCTCCATTTGGTTTCAGAAGGCTCTAGTGAAAAAAAAATGGAGAAGAAAAATAATATTTCTCATAATACAGAAACATTTCAAGTTTGTTTACAAGGTTTCTATTTATGGACACTAGCTAATACGGCATAGATAAAAGCGATAATCCAGTTTCTGTCAGATTCTATTCAAAATGAAACTGTAATCAATATTGACAACAGTCACCTTTTCAAAAAGTTCTTCTAAATAACGTGGAAAAAGTGTGAATTAGGTTCACGTGCGAAAGTCATACAGTGATTTACCCGTTGACTACCCGGACATTGGCTAAAATTGTAAGTCGTCTACAGAAGCTTACCCCATTTAACGGTAAAGTCTCGACTAGTGTGATGCGTCCGTTGGATGAGTGTTGCTATCTTAAGCTAAACTTGAAATGTTTCTGTATTTATTTAAAACTTTATTTTTGCTATATTCGTTTTAATATTTTACTTTGGGCTTCTGAAACCCGAGAAAAAATTCTGAATAACTCTTTATTTAAGTGTTGCAATTTTGAAATACAGTATGATTTGGCTAAGGTAGCTATTTTCAAACTTGTTTAACGCTGTACCTGCCATTGATAGCAATCTTCCTGGATGCACCACTTCTCAATGATTCTTCTTCAATCAAAAATTGCATTCTTTCGAAAAACGAAGCTGTGATGGCGGGTGGTTGCTTCCTTAGTAAGATGTCCAGTGGGTCAGCAGCTTTATTGCAAAGACTGTGATTTTTACATTTCTCTACCAGACAGCACTCACTGTCTGCACAATCTACCAGACCATCTACGAGAAAAAAAATAGGTAGCATTAATTTTACATGAATTTACGCATAAAAAATTAGGTTAATTAAAATTTAACGTTTTAATATCAAAATTATGTAACATTAAAGTTTAAAAATATTGCGAAACATGTTTAGTTGTTAAATAATTTTAATATTTTATTTTTGAAAAAAAAAGTTTTGTTTAGGAAATGTTTGGTAAACTAGATAAGTTTTTTTTCTTCATACTTTTTTAAATAAATACCTATATTGAAAAATGATCCATGGTGGATGTCACAAGACATTTTGTGCTTCAGAGTGCAATATAGAATACTGGTCAAATAGTTGATACTTTTAATTTTTTCAAGGAGAGTTTATAGTTAGACTCTATAATTTACCTCAACATTTTAAAAAACAATTAGAAACTAAAAAAAAAACAATTAAAAAAATAAATTGGAAAGGGCAATTGCTCCCAAGGACTAAGTTTTGAGGATCTCTATGGTTTCGTTATATACCATGAAACAAAACAAATAGTTTCAGATGCAAAAGCAGAATGAAGTGGCATTTAGATGAACACATTTTTGAAAAAAATCTGAAATTTAAAACTTACGAAAATATATTCTATAAAAAATGAATAAGGGGAAAGATAAATAAAGAAGTCTCATGCCAACTCTACCTCAAAAGTGAAAAAGACTAGGTATTTGAACGATAACAAAATAATTTATAATTACGTTTTACAATGAACACTCTATAATTCACTAATTACAATGAATTTTTCTGTATTAAGAAAAAATAATTACATTTAATTTAAAAGGATGCTACGAATATGAAGTCTTTTCCCAATTTTTATTTAAAAATGCAATCTCTTCGTAACTGTGCTCTATGTCGGAAATATTTCTTAGATTTCTTTTTATTTTACTTCCCTCTGTCTCATACCATAGAACATCTTTTAAGCATTGTTAGTACGTTATCATATTATATTTAAAGTCTAAAATCAGCTTACCAAAAAAAAATATTCTTTCACATTTTTTTTAAATAGAACTTGTAGCAATATTAAATTTAGAAATTTTTATTTTTTTAATTATTCTTCGTTTAATCTCTATGCTATAGAAAATCTTTTTCCGCATAAATAGATTATTATTAATAAAGTATACTACATTTCAGCTCAATTCACTGTTATATTCAGCATTTCGTTTAAAAAAAACAATATTTTTAAAAATGGCTCAACTATTTTTAAAAATGACTTAAATATTTTTACAATGCTGAACTTTAGCAAACAATAATTCACTTTATGACTTCAATAAAAGTAATTTTTTTTATTTATTTTAATAAGGCGTAGTTTGTTAAATATGTGAAAAATATATATAGTTTGATATAATGAAAAGAAAAAGGTTGAATAGTAAAATTTTGTTAGTCTTTTATGAATATGATATTTTGCATGCATGTACAATATGATGAAATGGTTAGAGTTGACTCTAAATGCTCTAATGCAAATGCTCGAAATGCAAATCATGACTCTAAATGTAAATACTTATAAAAATTAAATAATGGTTCGCATATAAAATAATCTAAACAGGTGTTTGTTATTATAACAATATGTAAGCTTTTCAAATCTACCATTTTAGTTTAACATTCTGCAATATACTTAACATGAATGACTAATACATTGAATTATGCAACAATTTATTATACGAACGTGTTATTAATTTAAATAATCACTTGACTATTTCTTATGTTAATAATTACATGCATTTAATGTATTAATAAATATTTATTTTATTTTTTTCAAGAATTTTTGTCGTATAGAAGTCATTTATTTATTCACAATATTAAATTTTTAGATTAGTTTCAGGAAAAAAAATTTCCAATTATATTAAAATTAATTTATATTATTAAATTGATTTTTTTTTATGTTATGAATGTTAAGAAATGACTCTAAATGCAAATACTAATAAAATATTTATGCTGGAAATATCTTATGTTTCAAATTAATCATTTTTTTAAAAAGTATAATAATATGCTATTGTTTTGTAACCACCAGGTTTATCATATCAAAAGCAGCCTATGTAAAGCATATTAGAACAAACCATTGTCGTTGTCGACATTGTCATCACATTTCTTTTCGAGTGCTATAGAACAGTCGGGACCATCCCAATGTTGATCACAGAAGCACATCCATTCTTCATCTTCTCCTATAATGCATTCACCGTGGTTGTTGCAATTTTTAGGACATCCCTCTGAAAAAGAAAAGAGTTTCTTGAGATTGAAGAGGTTATTGAGATTGATTTGTTTCAAAAATTACAATTGTCTATTTTTGTAAATTATGCGTGCAATTTTGATTATAGTAGATAAATTTCTTTAAAAATTATTTTTGAATATGCATAATTGAATCCGTTTAATTATAAAAATATTAAAAAAATTTTAAAATTAAAAAAATAAATTAAAAAAATTAAATAATTAAATTTTTAAAAAAATTAAAAATAAATAAATAATTTAAAAATCATTGAATCGCGTAAAATACAAATAATCTTTGAATCATCTATTATTAAATTTTGTATATGTACTCCTAAACATTGCAAACATACACATTCTTGTACTGATATTTTTGATAAACAATAAAATACTGTTTTATAATTTACACTTAGTTGCATTTTATAAAGGTTTTATAGAGATAAAAATAGATCTCTTGCTCCTAAGTAAATTGCAGCAAGCCAGATATTTCCTTCAAAATGCGGTTTTTCAATATTTTTTCAGTTCGTTGCTCACTTTATACCACTTGGCATTAAATTAATCATTATAAGTTGAAACAAATTTCAATCATTTAATCATTGTCCGAAAATTGCAAGAAAATTTTTTCCTAATTTCGAAGCATAAATACCACGCATTGATATTATTTATTGCATATTAATATTATTTATAGTTACTTCTCATTAATATTATTTATTGCACGCAATATTAAAAGATTACTTATCATTCAATATTCAAACAAATGATTAAAATAAACCATTTTCATACTTTCAAAACATAGAATAGATTCACCTTTATTTGCATTCAACAACCAAAATCTAAATTTAATTCCTTACTTGTCAATTGACAATTATTTATTAATTTGTGAAATTACTTTTATGTTATTTATTTCAATATTCAATTTAAAAAATTTATTTATCTTTTGAGAAAATATTTTATAGTAGTTTTTATTTTTGTATCAATATTTTAAGTATTCTTCTAAATCTCGATTTTTACCTTTTCCTTTGAAAAAAAAAGTCTCATTCTAAAAGTTTTTGGTTGTAATAGTTGTAATAGTTACAAAAATAGTTTTGGGGAACACATCTTTCACGCTGAATAACAAAATAAAATTAAATCTTCAACATATTGTATAAGGAATTCAAAACCATTTTGTAAATTTATGATATACATAAAAAGTGTCTCTAGAAAAAGGCCTTAAATATACTCTAACATTTTTCCAGAGATGAATATTTGATGGTTATGACTTTTAACGTACTAGTATATGACTTCCGCTCTAAACTCAACATAAACTTCTTTTTGTCGACAAATCTATATTCTGCTCTTTAACATTTACTGAATGTTGAATGGGAAATCTATTATTGCCTTGACATTTAAAATGACAGACTAACTATTCCACAATCATTATTCAAAATGGTGTTTGGTTTAATAAATGGTGTTTTTTAGTACAAAATTCTTGCTTCTATATTATAAAAAATCATTTATAAGAAAAAAAATAATTGGTTTTCTATTAAAAATACTCTTTATTAATTCATTTTTAAACCTAAGCAATTTAGTTCAATTTTAAAACTAAGCAATAGCTGATAAAAATAAAAAACAGATAATTGTACTGTCATATAATCAAATGATTCACGTCAAAACTTTTGCTTTAAATGATGTCAATATAATCATCAAAATTAAAAAAAGGTTAAATTTGTTCCGTATATGAATAAAGCTAAATCAAAGTGGAAAAAGAACAAATAATATTTATAAAGAAATAATTGGCATATAATACTAACATATATAGGATTATATACGGTAGTAGTAAATAGAAGATTTTAATACTTTATACAGTGAACGGATTTATGGATTTTTGAATTTGGATTCAGATCTGTGTTTTGCTGTTTAACATTTACTGAATGCTGAATGGGAAATCTGTTATTGCTCTGACATTTAAAATGTCAGGCTAACTATTCTTAAATTATTGTTCAAAATGGTATTTAGTTTCATAAATGGTGTTTTTTTGTTCATATTAAGAGTTTTTAGATTTTTTGTTGTTGTGCATTGAGATTTAAAATTTTCCAGAAGGGAATCATTCGTGAAGAAAAAAAATGTTTCTTTTAAAAGAAAAAAAATCTTTATCTGTTAAATTTATTTTAGAACCTGATCAATATTTGATAATAATATATAGCAGATAAACGTGTTATTATATAATAAATGGATTCATGTGAAAATGTTTATTTTAGATGAAGTCAATACATTTATAAAATTAAAAAAGCGTTATCTTTGTACCATATATGAATAAATCTAAACCGGCGTAGAAAGAGGGCAAAAAATATTTATAAAGAAATAACTGGCATATAATATTAATAACCCATGTCTGCTTAGTGCTATTGTAGATAGCCGTAAATCGAAGCTAATAGTAGGGGAGAGTGGGGTCAATTGTAACATTTTTTACTTAACTATTTTTAACTAACAAAAAATCCAATATATTATCAGTATTAATTGACAGACGAGTAAAGTAGACTATTCTCTACTAGAAAAAAAAATAAATACCTTATTTTAAATGTTATTATATTAGTAATTAACAATTTTCGACAGTCGTGCACTTGTTACAATTGTCCCCACTTACGGGGTCAATTGTAACAGTTCATAAATTCAACTAAAACATAGTTAATTATACATATTATCATAGTTGTGATATATTTTTTTATTGATCAAAATAGTAGTGATATTTTAGGAGTAAAAATAATAAAGAGCAGAGACCTAAAGGGTTAAACTTTTAACTTTAAGGGGTTAAAAATTTTAATGTATGCTGTGAAAGGTGACAAATAAAACAATGCACATGCAACATAATATAAATGATATAGGAAACTATTGGTGGTTCTTAAAGAGTTAAGTAATGGTTTGTAAGCATAAGATTATTTATTTTCAGCTGTTACAATCGTCCCTTTACTTATTGTTACAATTGTCCCCAAGACGCCATTTCAGCTTCATTTGTTAAAAACAATGCTAGTTAATTAACTAAACTAATCTTTATTTCTGAAATGTTAATTAAGGTGTCCACTTACATATTCGGTTAATAATTTTTATTTATTTGAACAAAATTACTTTGTTGCAATATAATATTCTAATACCAAAAAAATTACTTGCGTAGCGTGAAAATATCTTTTGTGATGTAACTCTTTCAAAAGTACCTAGAAATGGTTGCCAGCAGGGGTGTACATGTAGATTTATTAAATACACCTTGTGCGCCACCTAAGAACCAAATCTAAAACCCGACACTCGAAATTTTTGCTCTGTTACAATCGTACCCTGTTACAATTGACCCCACTCTCCCCTACTATTATATAGTGAACAGATTTATTTAATAATATTTTGCTTTTGATAAAGTCAATAAAATTATCAGAAATAAGAAAACATTAACTTTGCTGTATATAAATAAAGCTAAGAGTCACAGAAGGAAGCGCACAATCGTTTTGGTACTGTAATAAAGCACTACTTCAGTATCAAAACAAAAAAAGGAAGAAGGAAACATAGAGATGCAGAAGAATTTTTCAAACAAGTTATACAACAAGGTATGCAGGGTATTCATCAATAGGATAGGAAAACAATATAGGTAGATAACTTCAAAGGCAATGATAATATTGGGGATGTAGAGTAAAAATCTCAGATCTATCTCGTTTTATGCATGTGTTAATACAAATTAATCTTAAGAAAAAAATTATACACTTTGAAAGAATGCTGCATTTTGAGAAAGATTGCTTTTGCCTGACAAAAAAAGTTTGTAAAATTCTTCGAATTAACCTTTTGCATTATTTTTTAATGAATAGAATATTAATTTGAGTTTTAAATATTACTGAGAGAAACAAAATGGTTTCTGAAAATTAGTTAGAGAGCGACAAATTGTTATAATTTAAACCATGATAATCTTAAAAATAAACTTTTAGTCTATCAGAATTGAAGACGAATTTTAAATTTGGCAAAATTGATTTGTACTTAATTACTTATATGCGAAGATTTTAATCTAATTTAATTTGTACGCTCACCGTAAGAGATAATTAAGGAAAGCTATTGCAGGACTAAATGTAGAAGTCATTGAATTTTAATATATGTTAGGTTTTGTGTTAATTTATTTCTTCTATTACAACTTATTTACCATATACTAATCAGACTGATTTAATTAAACTTAACTATAGATTAGAATTTAAGAACTATTCATTATATTTGTTCAGATAACCATCGGTATAGTTCAAAGTAGTTAGTCAAAGTTCTTGTAGTTAGCGAGTTTCAGTTTATTTAAGCTAAAAGTAGGCTAAGTTTCGAAATAGTACACTGAATAAAGCTTGGTGATAGGAAATGAGATGAAGAATATATTTTGAGCACTTTATTTGAGAATCAGATTTTGAAATTTATATTTTAAAGCAATATTAAAACTTTATGTACGAATGAATGCGGTTGGTGAGACAGACTGCTTTTTAAATATGTATATTTTTGAAACTATTTCAAATATTATACTTAAGGGTACATGAAGTTAAATAAGAGTAACGCAGGCATTTTTTTTAATAACAAATGTTCAATGTGTCATGCTTTTCTTACACGACGAGCATTCAATGTGTAATAAAACGTCAATTGTGTGTTGATTCCACTTTTTCTTTTAGTTTCAAATTGTGAATGGTCCCTACAACTGCATAAATGAGTTCTTTTTTTTCTTGTTGTGTTTTTCCCATCTGTGTTAAAAAGCAGTAGCGGCAAATTAATTAGGGTAAATTTCTGGGCACCTGCATTCACGATACACTATTTTCGAGCCCTCTATGCTTAAAGCACTGAAAGAACACTCATGCAGCACTAGGAACGATTTGCAACGTGAAACTACAATATGTATGAAACGGACCTGATTACACATTAGATGTTTGCCGGTTAACAATAGTAGAAGAAAGTTTGTATCTAGAAAAATGCATAGTTTATTTCCCCTTGATTATGTGCTTTACATAATATTGTGGGGCATTTTCGATATCATAATGTCTTGGAATATGTTAATAAGCGTGTGTTAAAATATAACATGCCTTTCGTTCGATATCTTTAATACATGTATCGATAATAGTATCTGCGAAATGTGTTCGAAAATATAATTTGAGTTAAGAAAATATAAATATTTTGAATTCTAGTAATTTATTTGGGATCACTGAGTACCGTGTTTTTCGATCGAATTCATATTTATATGTATCATACAATATAGTTTGTTGCTAAAAGTCTGGATGATGTCACGATTTTTATATATTTCAAATTTTTTTTATTTTTCCTAATTAAGTCTTCAGGACTAAATGTCAATGTTTATGAATGCTATCTTCATGATTGGTTTTCAGTTTATTTTAACAATTTCATGATTGCTTCTGATTGTGAGTAAGCACACAAAACTAGAGTCAACAACTGGTAGTGTTGTTCTCTTATCAATGACAGTTCAATTTAAAGACTCACTGTAATTATGTAACAATAAAAGTGACTAACTTAAAATGTAGAAAATCAGTGTATTCTTATCTTGCAATCACGAAACTATCTTAAAAATGCCATTTCTTTGAATAAATGTTTCAATATTTTTAATTACGTTTTAAATGCACACTTAACTTACTGAAGCTTGAATTTAAAATTTCAGATGAAATTTCCAACATTGTAAAAAGAAATTAAAATTAAGAACGTTTAATTGGAACACATAGAGACTGCATCCTTCTGTGCAATTCCCTCCACCACCCTTGGAACTGCGTTTCATTAATCATTTCTCCAAAAAGCAAAAGTCATTTGTTAATAAATTATAGAATAATTATAATTTTATGGTGGAATATTTTTTTGCTCTATTAATAGTAACAATATGAATGATTTTCTGGACTTGAAAACTAATCAACTGTACTTGAAAAAAAGATTAAACTCAGCAAAGAAATCTGTGACGCAATACAAAAAAATAAACGAGAAGTAATTTTATTTATCAACAACGATATAAAAAAATAATCTTGCGCCATTATATCAATTCAAATAGGAAACTGTTTTGATCTTTATTTAATTCCAGATTTAAGTTTTCAGAGCTTTTAAAAACTTCAATTTTGTAGTTGTTTTTGACATCTAATTTTTATACACTATCAAATTTCAACTAGTGTAAATATTATCAGTTTAATCAAGTTTAAATCGTTATGTGTACATTTCGATGTCATATGTTTTATTTTTCAGTTAAACGTTTACAAATTATACTCAATTTTTGAAAGTCACTGCATATTCATATTCTTAAAAGTGATTATTATTCGATCTTGAATTCATTCTTGAATGAAATTTTCAGAGCTCTTAAAAACTTTAATTTTGTAGTTGCTTTTGACATCCAATCTTTATACACTATCAAATCACAACTGGCGTAAATATTACCAGTTTAATCATATTTATATCATTGTGTGTACATTTTGATGTCATATTTTTCGTCTTTCAGTTAAACGCTTACAAATTATACTCAGTTTTTAAAGCCCACAGCATACTGATATTTTAAAAAGTGATTACTATTTGTTATTAGATATTGCATTTAAAGCATTATTTAATAATGAGTCAGCCACGTAGGCGTTCTGTCTAAGTTCTTTATCTAACGAAAGTGTGCAAGTCATTGCTCCTTAGAGAACGTGATGAAACCACCCTAACTTAATATTTATCTCAACAATTGCAGGCCTGGACGAAACGTGCTTTGGAGCAAAATAAAATATTCATCGTTTGGTGCTTACCCAAAGTACAATGCTTTCCATTCCAGCCTTGTATACAGAGGCACGTTCCATTCCGGCACTGACCGTTGTCCTTGCAACGTGGATCACAGAGTTTCTCATCACATTTTGCTCCTGACCAACCATCTAAGCATATGCACTGACCATTTTCGCAATGCCCTTGGAAACCACAATCCAAATCGCATTTCTCTAAAATAATAATAAGAAGTTAGGTTAATTAATAATTGTGATCGAATTTTGTTTTATTTTGCTTATAGTTTAAAAATTTAAAAAACATTTGATATTTTTGTTAACTATATTAAAATATAATACTTTTAATATTTATATTTCAATTTAGTTATTAAAATAATATTTTATATAATATTTTTATTCTTCCCAAAAATATTTTTACAATTTTACATTATATATAGTATATTTTTAATAAATAATATATTTAATATTATAATATTGCTTTTGTTTTAATATTTAATTTTAATAACTAATATTTAATAACTAATTATTTTCTTAAATAAAAAAAATTGAAGTGAAGATTGAAGTGATAAAAATATATGTACATTAATAAACAGAAGAAACTTCTCGCAATTAGTCACAAAAACATTTTGTACTTCTTCTTTTGTTTTTGTTGTTTTATTTGTATTTCGTTTTATTAATAACAAGTTGGATTAAAATATGCTCATCAAAAAGCTATAAAAATCTAGAAAAAAGTGCAAGAAAGAAGTGCAAGAAGTTTATTCGATAACTAAGATTTAAGATTTATGCAATACAATATATTATTTTTAAAAATTTTCAGAGGCATTAACTTTTTTAAGAAATTAATAGAATAGCTGAAAAAATGGATCATAAATTATTTGTACAATTTTTAATTAGATATATAATGTGCTGTAAAATACACTACGAAAAAAGTATGGCCAAAACTACCAGAATATGGTGAAATGTACAGTTTTTTCAATTCTATGAGAACACCAAAAAAGCTCGATAATTTTTACTAAAGAGCATATAGTCATCATAAACCGTTTCCATATAAATAGATTTTTTTTCTCTGTGTGTAATTTCTATTTAAAATTATTTAACATGTAATATGGTTTTATTAACTAGATTCTTATAGCTATTATTTTTTCTATTTTTGTTTCAATAACTAGATAAAACCTATAGCAAAAAAATCAAGTACAGTAACGTCGGTAACCAAAAGTTGGTATTCTTACTAATATATAACGTTGGTATTCGTAAAGCTGGTTTTTTCCTAATTATAATCGATTTATAATTACTGAATTATAAACAATCTGACATTAATTTAAAATTCTTTTGATTCTTGATGTCTACTTAAAAAGATTCAAATAAATGTTCTAAAAAATTATTCAGCATTTTTTATTAAAATACGATATAAAATATATTTTTACTGAATATTTGTTCAACGGAGTCGTATTTTTGATATCTGAAGTAGAAGAGGCGGGTGTATAAAAGTTGAAAAGGGAATTTGAATTTGAAATATAATAGCTTATTCAAGCTAACTTTCATAAAGCATGGGTGTTATTCCTTCTTTTTTTTTGAGTCTTGCTTACCTCATTTCTGCAATTAGTTTTGAGAATTTATGTGGTTTTACAATTATTAAACTGCTTCAAAAATTATTAAAAATCTTAGGGAGATATTTATAAATTTTAAACGGAAGTATTATATCTTATTTATAATTAAAATGAAACATTTTCATTACAGAGTTTTAATGATCTTAACAAGAAGAAATCTAGCGTATTTCAATCCTTTTTAAAATGTTAAAACTAGATCAAAAATATGAATTATTTAGTTATTTTTAATCAATTTAAGCATAAAAGAATGAATAAATACCTGTCAAAATATATTTTTTTATGATAAATTAAAAAAACAATCTTTAAAGACTTTTGTAAAGGTTTATGTTCTAGTTTATAGTTCTCATTAAAAAATAATTGCGTGTTCCTTAGTATAAAATATGTTTTATTCATGTTACAAAATTAGCTCAATGATCAACGTACCTCAGTGAATATCTACTTGACTAAATTTGGATTTCTGAAATTTTCTGAAACCATGCATTTATTTCGTTTATAATTACGCTTTTATAACGTGCCTCTATAAATTTATAGAATTTAAAATCAACGATGATTGAAATGAAAAAAATAATTTATGTACTGATAAGTTAAGTGAATGTAGAAATAGGACTAATTCGTCTTGATTTAGATTTAGATTAAAATCAACGATGATTGAAATGAAAAAAAAAATATGTACTGATAAGTTAAGTTAATGTAGAAATAGGACTAATTCGTCTTGATTTAGATTATTGAAGCTGGCAAAATTTGGCTATAGGGAAAGAATTAATTTCCCAATAGATAAGTTCTCAACGGATTCAACACAGTTTTGTCTGCGAAGTGACACAGTTTGCGAAGGGAGTGACGATAATCTGAGAAGGACAGCTTACAAGGAACCAGTAACTCAGCTATCATCAAATTCTTATAATTACTAAATTTGAAAAAATAAAGAATTTTAGTGATCATTTATAAATTTCAGTTGGAATTATACTTTATAGTCTGACCTCGTATTTGAATTAATTGTGTTGAAAGATGTAGAGCTAAAAAAATTATAAAGGGTTTGAATAAAAAGCAATCAAAGGCAGGGAAATTGTTTTTCTCTATTTGTATATTTTTGAGCAAACCTCTCAAGTTTAAATTATTGTTTAGATTTTCAGTATTTTACTTAAAATTACGCTACGGGGTAAAATATCAAGTTAATAAATTAATAAATAAAAATTTTTCCAATAAACCAAAATAAATTTTTTATAATTAACTGTTATTCGCAAAGAGCATTTATAAATCTTTTATTTTTTCAAAAGATTTATTCTAAAGCTGTACAAATTAATATGAATCTTAAATGCGTTACGCAGTTTCTACTCTAACTAACAAAACATAGTTAATTCCCTTTCTGGTTTGATTTAGATTACTGAAGCTGTCGCAATTCGGTTAAAGTGAAAGAATTAATCTCCCAAGAGATAAGTTCTCAACGGATTCAACGCAGTTTTGTCTGAGAAGCGAGTGACGATAATCTGAGAGGGGGAATTTGTTAAATAAGCAGCTTACAAGGAACCAATAACTCAGCTATCGTCAAGCTCTTATAATTACTAAATCTGAAAGAATAGAGGATTTTAGTGACCGTCTGGTAATTTCAATTGGAATTAAACATGAGAGTCTTATCTCGTATTTAAATTAATTGTGTTGTAAGCTCTGAAGTAAAGAAAAAAAAATCAAGCATTTATAAAATGTTTGAATAAACATTTATTATAAAAACAATTTTTAGTTTGATTTCATTTGTAAACGGAGAAAAAAATGTTTTTTTTTTGTAATATTATCAAACATGGTAATGGCATCTCTAGTTAAAATAGAAACATAATTCTGGTTCTTAAAAGCAAAATGTTCAGTAATTAAACATTAAGTTCAGTAATATTTCTGTTCTTATGTTAGCGGTGTACCAAAAATTCTATTTTTCAAAATTGTACTTTTTATTACCCTACTTTTATAAAAAAAAAACTGAAAAGTAAATTTAACCGAATAAATGGATTTTTTGACATGCTCTACATGAAAAATGATTAAATTTTATCACATATTATAATATAACATATAATGTTAATTTTACCAAAATCATCACCAAAACGCTCCGGTGGAAATACCAAGCTCTATGATATTCCCATAGAGCCAAATACAGATGAATTTTACCATATTCGAGTAGTTTTGATCATAATTTTTTTCTCAGTGCATATTTTTGATCAAATTTTTCAAGTTAAAAATAATTTTCCGATTTTCAATGGTCAATTCAAAATTATGGTGTAAGAGAAAAATATATAATAAAAATTTGCGCTACTTAATTAAGTAAAATATTCAATTTATTGATTAGTAATATGGTGAAAATATTTAGTCAAAATAAAATATTGTGAAAAATTTTATAAAATGAAATTTGTATTCAGAAACTGGAAACTAAAATTGCTCAAATAGTAAAATTGTATTCCATGACCTTGTGAACTAGAAAAACTGGGTGATTCCCTCCGAAACATTCAATCCGTTTGCCTACCTCGGGTTCATAAAGCCTGCCAAATGATATTAATGGAATAAACGCAAAGTTTGAAGTGTTTACGACGTCTCTATGCTACAGTTTTTGATCTCTTAAGCTCCATTATTTGGAAGGATCTAAGTAAAAGTACCAGGTATTTTGAGTTTGGTGCAGTATAGCCTCTTCTGGATCATACGCCATATAAAATAACATTGAATTCGATCTATTTTAAGCATTAAAATTTTCAGTACAAAATATCTGTTTTTATTATTGCTTTTATTAATTTATAGTAGTTAAAATGCTAAAAAACGTTATTGTGTCCACAAACTTCATTTTGTTTATCGTGTATATATTTCCTCCATTAGATTTTAATTCTTTCCTTCAGAGTATTTATTGTTTTGAAAAAACAATCACCTTCGATAGATGACTTTATATACGTCCTACAACATTTCATTGTTTCTATACTAATGTGTATAAAAAGTTTTTGAAACAATTTTTCCTCCGATATTTTTTTATCTTATTATATTAATGTTTATCTTTATGAAATAATTAAGTTTTTGCATAAAATGAGTTAACACTAAAACTCCCCAAAAAGATCATACCTTTTCAAACATCTGAAAAAAGTTACCAATATTTCAGATAATATTTCATCGTATTTTCGCTATTTGTTATCAATATACGAAATATAAATCAAATTAAATATGCATACCTATAAGGTAAAGAGAAAATTTGTTATAAATTAATGGGTTTTTAAAAAAAGGTTATAAAATTGATTAAATCCACATAAAATAGATTGCATTTTTGGAATTTTGAACTTCCCCTGGAGTTTTATTTTTCAAGCCTTAAGTATCGCATTGAGAGATTTTGATTTAATAACGTAATAGCTATTACATACTCATTTATTTAGTTTAAAAATCTTGTTAATTAGTTCTATTGCAATTATTTTATGTTTAATTAAATTAAAGTATTTAGTAGTTTCTCAAAATAAAGTAAGACTCGATTTCTTAGAGTTTCTTTTTTTCCACATGTATTATAATTACGTAAATTCAAAATTATTAACTAGTAATATGATTAATTTTGTCATTGTATTTTTATGTTTGGTTAAATGATCTTGATTTTAATTTATG